ACTACTGCTCACACCTAGCAATTTAGAAAGCCTCTTTAATCTTAGTGTCATGCTAGTGGATTGGTGGAGGGGAACCTGAAGAGAACCCATATTTACATGGAGAGGACATGCAAACTCCATGCAGAAAGGCCCCAGGCTAGGTTTTAATCCAGGACCAGCGCTAACTACAGCAGACAGAGGCCAGACCCTCTGATAGATGGATGGGAATATTCTGACATATATTCGTCTCTTTGTTTTGCTGCTTTTTGAAGCTCTGATGCCATTGATTGTCTGCTCCAGGAAATGGCAGGTGATGTCATTTCCCAAAGGACCTGACCAATCATTATATCATTAAACAATGCTTATGGGATGGAGTAGGGTGGGGGGTGGGGGTGACAAATGGTCAACAAACATTTCCGTCTACAGAAAGAATCCCTGTTAAATAATCCTTTTTAATCAGTAACTGTTGGACCTGATGTGTCGCGTTTCGCTCTTCTTACTCGGATAGAATTATCTTCTGAATTAAAAGCTTCCAACAAAGAAAAAGTCCTTTAGTTAGCCTTAGTTACCCAGGAGCAGAGATAGATGAAGAAGAATTGATTCTGTAAAGTATCAGTTTATCAAACGCATTTAACCATGTGATACTATTATAACTCTAGTTTTCAAACTATGGAAATATGCAAGATAAACAAATTAGTATAACTAAATTTAAAAAATAGGGAGAAAAAAAAGTCCAGCTCCATGGCCGTGCATCTGATCAGCCTCGTCTAACTTTTTAGCATCATCAGACATGTTCAGACAGAGGAGCATCTTTACCATCTTTGGGTTCAATCCATCTACCCAGAAAGTCAGATTGTGGTCAAAGAAAAAAACGCCACATGTTGGAGGGATGGAAAATACTTTGATGCCTGCAGTGCTGCACAGTTTCAGCCTTCATCAAATTGTCCCAGGGTCAGAACCATTTACTGCATATCTCTGTCCTAGTTACTGTCAATTCAAGGGAACCAGAGTCACAAAACAGCACAAACCTTCCCTGATGTGCTGTAATCTCATAGCTCCAGTCATGCTGTCTGATCACATCAATTAGACTTCAGAAAAATTCATATAAACATTAATTAAAAAGTAAAAGAAACAATTCAAAATAACTCCAATACATCAGATATCAATTAGTTATTTTATAAATGATGTTCTGTCTTTTTAAATCCTTTTTTTGTGGGACAGACACACAGACAGACAGGTTGATGGATGACTAGATAGATGGATGGATGCCCAGATATATTTATAACATGATTTCAAATAGGAAAAGCGTAAAAATAAAATCTTGACGTCAGATTTCTGATCATTCCTGACTGCGTTCTCCTCTCAGTGTGTAACCAGGAAACAAAGTGGCCTGTCTACCAGCTGTTTTGGTTGAATGATGTAAACCTTTTAACTAAATCCTCCTCCTCATCATTATCATCATCAGCATCCAGTGGAGTCTGACCTTCTCTGCATCCTGCTG